AACTGAGCTCCATGTCTCAGCTGATGCAGTGCAGGGATGAGACAACATTGTTGCTTAAAATGAGGTAGCAGAATTCTGGAGTCAGCAGTGGCTGCAAAAATGTTAAGTCCCTTAGAAATCACAGAAATCCAGAGGCTGAGCCCTGGAGGCCAGAGTTACCAAACCTGTCTGGATCTCAAGGGGCAGGGAGTCCTCAATAGACATTTGGGCTACAACAGGGGAGGGTCTGTGCCTCCTGCTGGCTGCAAGGGGGACACACTGTGGAAAAGAAAGTGGGAGGAAACTTTTGACCTTGGTGCTGATCACAACGGAGCATGTGCTCAAATAGGATTCCTCTTCAGGTGTGCCTGATACGAGAGGTTCAGGGACTGCAAACACTCAACCTCCTGGACATTCGCAGTGAGGGAACATCAGCCAAACCGGGGCCGGTGTAAAGATGGTGTGGCCATGAGCCAGCTTGCATCACGGAAATCTCGTCCGTGCCTTTGGGGCCCTCACCAGAAGCCATCCAAGTGCTGGACCCCTGACAGTTGGCACATCAACACCATGTTGACCCAGAACAGAGGCTCATCAGAAGAGGAATGGCAGAGGGTGGGCTCAGGATGGCAGCCAGCGCTGGATGCTGTGGAGGAAGGGAGCCATGCAGACCCGGGAGGGGAGTCAGAGTGCTGGATCCAGCCTTGCAAGTGACCGGCTATGTGACTGTGGCCTCTGAAACTCAGATTCCTACTTATTTATAAAATTATTCATAAAACAGTGGAGGGGGGAGAGAGGACTGGTCTCAAAGTGCTGTTATTCCTCTGGCCTCAAATCTGGCTCTATAGGTAACTTTCTTAGCGTTGCCTCAGAGCCCCAGATAACATGACCTCAGAGCGAAGTCACCACACAGGGCTGGGATGCCAGCACAGGGCTCGGGGCACCGCACGTTGGCACAGGAACTGTACCAACTGGGGAAGGAAATTGAAAAGGCTTAAAGGAACTTAGGCAGGGATGGGGAACCTGTGGCCTTGGGGCCACATGTGGCCTTCTGGATCCTTGAGTGTGGCCTTTTGGCTGAATCCAAATTTTATAGAACAAATCCTTTCAACAAAGGGACTTTTTTCTGTGAAGTTTGGATTCTGCTGAGGGGCCACACTTGGGGATCTGGAGGCCACATGTGGCCTTGAGACTGCAGGTTCCCCACCCCTGGTTGGAATGGAGGCATCATCTAGTTGTAGGAAAAGAGTAACAACATATCCCTGAGAAGATGGCTTTCCGGGTAACACTTTAAAGCAAGAATCTGTACTGATCTTGAGTCTCAGAGGCAGAGTCAAAAACAGCACCAGGTTTTCTATTAGGCTACAGTCCCAGATGTGAGAACATGAACTTCAGGGACAATGACAAAGGTGGCTGTTGTCAGGGCCCTTCCCACGACATCTGCAGACTAACGGCAAACAGAAGCCTCACTTCCAGGTGCAAAGGAAAATGTTAAGCTGAAGTGATTTGTTTGACTAATGTTGGATTCACCTGACTCCCTAAACTCACCTCATAACGCTGTGTCTCTGGGCTTTGCACACACAGAATGTTCTATCCATTAACTTCTGGGAGGTTCAGCTTTTACCTGGGTGGTTTTGGAACCCCCCAGTTAGCTGCTTAGATCTCCCTAAGATCACACTCAGAGTGTTCTTAAGACCAGCAGTCCTAAGGATTTAAAGAAGGGATGAGGCACCTCTCTCCAACTTCTCCACGGTGGATGGAAATCCATGCATCTCACTACCTTTATATATAATAGCCTCAAAGACATCTACCTCTAATCAATACATGTTCATGATTCTTTCATTAAAACATCCCACAGGAGAGCCATTCTTTCCTCCTCCCCACTAGAATTCCAAATGATACCAATTTTTTATTTCTTTCTCAAAAGTATCCCAGACCTTTCTCCTTCCCTTTCCTCCTCTCCCAGTCTTCACTGTCACGGAATTTCCTCTTATCTGGAAGCAGTGAGCCTGCAATTCTGACACTAATGGCTTATGATTCACTTAAATTGCTTCTCAGATCCTAAAGACCTAAAGCCCCAAATCCTCATTCTGGCAATCCCATACCCAATCAGACAGATAGCGTGAGGACATTTTTCCCAAGTGCAGAATCATGTGTATTCTGAGTGACTGAGCTATTGGCATTCAAGTTTTGACCAGTTTCAAGATGCTACTATCATATAATGGGAAGACCATATACAGACACTGCACTCTATGTTACAAAGGAAGACTCCATTAGTTGCTATACAAGAGTTGAGGGTTTCAGGTTATGTATGATACATCCAGAAAGCTGTTTGAATACACTGAGAACTTTACTCCTTTTAGGTCTTAAGTTTACCTCGCTGGAAGTAAGGCTTCTGCAACGTTGCATTCCTTTTTCAGGGCCCCTTTCACTGTTTAGTGTGCTAATGCCAAGAATTAATGGCCTTTTTTTTTTTTTTTTTAACTCCCTTAGAGGAGTGATGAGAAACTGTTATAAAACCAGATGGGGGAGGTGTTACACTACCACCTTCCACATAATGCACAGTCTCATTTATTAACTCACTTTAACCTCAAAGCACCCCAAGAGATAAACAGAATAGGCATTTCCACCTATGTGAAGAATAAAAAAATGGAGGTACAAGAATTCATGTGATTGCATGAGGTCCATCAGCTGTTTAAAGGGAGAGCCAGAATCAGGCCCCGGCTTTGTACTCTGTGTTCTTTCCAGCAGGCCTTGTGGGCAACTGTGACAGTATAGCCTGGCCACCTGGCTGAGGCTCAGAGCCCGTGGCCAGCTGTGGTGTGGGAACTCCTGGGGGGGGGGGTGCTGGATATGGTCCAACTGTGGTCCAGCTTCCTCTGCTGCTAGACAGGGCTGGTTCCAGGCAATGATGCCAATGACTACGGATGTCACTAACAGCTGGAAAAAGGGCCTCCTTTGGCAAAGGAGTCTGGAAGCACTCTCTAGCTGCTCTGCTCAGGAAGGGACCCTGCTAGCATCCTTTTAGATAAAGTGGGAAGATTAGACTTGCACTAAACAGTAGAAATCAGTGAATGCAGCTTCCAGAAGGTCATTTGGTTCAGATGTTTACACAGAAAGCATCTGACCAATTTCAGCGAGAACAAACCTAAAACCATCCTTCTTTTAAAGCCACCCTGAGTGGTAAAGATAAGGTACATGTCTTAACCTATATAAAGGAGAAGTACTATCATTTTCAACTGTACAAGACACATTACTAGGGTTACAGTTCAGTGGCATGCACCCTATATTGGACTGCATTTAAACTACAACTGCGTAGTGTGACGTCTCCATTACATGGCGCCAAACGTTTGTTAATTGTACAACTGTTACTTGGTGAGCTCTGGTTTTAACTACAATATTTTAAAGGCCAATTCCTATTTAAATGTGTTGTGAAAAAATGTAGGAGTTTAACTTTATACACATTTTACATTTACGGCAGAATAAGTACAGGAATTTATGCACCCAAATGGGTGGTGTTGCCTTCAAAGTAGTCACCTTGGGAAAATGTATGTTTATTCCAATAAAGCTGATCTTACTTGGAACATTTCTAGAACCCTCTTGGGCAACTGTCAACTTGTAAGCTTCCTCAATGTTGATAAATCTTTTTCCCTTAAGGATATATCTATTTTCGGAAGAATGATTTTTTTTTTCACAGCCAAAGAGCATTAGAAAATAAGTCTGATAAATAAAATGGGTAATGGAGCTCGAGACTACCTTGGTGGGTGGCAAGGGTGGAGGGTGGGTAAAAAACGAGGTCTAACTATAAAGTTGTGAGGCCTCTTTCCTTGCATGGCTTCAAAGTTATTTCAAAAGAAGAATTCTAAGTGTTCGTGGCACATGCAACATCACAGCTCAAGCGTATGGTCTCCCAAGGAAGTAATTTCAATTATGGTAACTCTTGAGTGCATATGTTCTAGCGTATTTGGTTAAAAAGGTAGCTTTGCTCATCTTCAGTCCTACTTCATATAAACAGAAATGGAAAACTCCATCTCTAATATTTCTCCCAAGGGAAGGATCTCATCTACTGCTTGAAGAGTTAAAATGAAAAGCACTTGGTGTCCTGTCTACATTAGCCCCCTCCAAAATGTGCAATGAGTAATTCCTGATACCTGAGTCTCCCCAGTTTGGAAAAGTGGGTAAGGACAGGTCTCTGGATCCAGGATAAAAATAGAATGTCAAGGGGATTGGAGTGTGTTTCCCATGGCTCTATCTACCCAATAGACCCACAACACCAACTCACACAAGAAAACCTCCTATAGCTAAGCAGTACACAAAGTTTCAGTAGAGGAGGGGGAAGAATGATTATCTTCCAGTAGCTTTCTATGGTTAAAAACCCACTGGCTTCTAGATGGCGAGTGAACGGAGTCCATTGAAAAGAAAGTCCATGGTGTTAGATTTCTAGTGCACGCTTAAGAAATAAAGTGTGTGGCCACTAGCTCATTGAAGTGCATTTCCAGCTGAGGCCAAAGGCAGCAAAGGTGCAAGAAGCTGCTGGAGCTGATACTGGTTGAAGCAGGGTCTATAAATTGAGAGTGGCAAAGCAATTTGTAGAAAGCCCCAGTTACAAAGCAGGACCACTGAAGTCAAAGAACGTTCAATCTCACTTTCTACAAAGTGCTTCATTGAGAATGCTAATGAGGAAGCTCCCTTAAAACACCATATCCTGAGTGTCGGAGAAATATGGTCAAGACGGTGACTGATGGGAGTAGAAGACCGATCCTCTAACAGAGTTTGAACTGCGTATTCTCCAAGCATCACACACACACTTAATGAAGAACATATGGCCGCAGTCACATTCCAACTCATCTGCCCATGCCTCCATCTCCTGGTGGCTTTTGAGTACAGTGTTTCCAAGAGCCATTTCAAGTTAATGGATTCAACTGCTAAAAGTCAGATGCAGCAGCACAGTCAGTGCTTTAAAGTTAGCCATAATGTCTAAGTGCTCACAGCAGACATCAGTCTCAGATCGATCGGTCTGGATGTTGTTGTTGGTGAGTGTTTTTATATTTGTCTTTGTAAAAACCACAAAGCTAGGCCATTTGCTTAAATCATCGTTAGAAAGAATGCTGAGTGCCCAGATGGGATATCTAGTTTCTGTGCAAATGAAATCACATTAGTCCAGATTTTATTCACTGAAAACTACTAGGGAAGCAGTAAGATTTGGTTTAAATGCTGCCAAAAGGCAGGAATTCACTTAAGTTTTAATTCTGAAGCAATCCTGTTGTTAATGTTGTAGCCAGGTTCGGACAGCATGGGAGGCGGGGCCCCCACTGTGCTTGCTGAGGAATCCCGGATCTCTCCCAGTTCAGGCTCACTCTCGCTAGAGGTAGACCCACTGTTGATGGTGTAGACGCTCTCTGCAACTCCCTGAGCTGAAGCACAGCCATCTGGCTCGTTCTTCTCCCTGGGACTCGACAGTCCTGGGAGGACAGCCATCTTCCCAGTCTGCCTGTTTGGCAGCAAGGACATGGTATAGTCTGCAATGATCGCACCCACATCTAAGTTGCACGCCTGGTCGAAGGCTAGGAAGCCGACATTGGCATTTGCCTCACACACCACAAAGGAGCCATCATCCATGATAAGGAGATCAATGCCACAGAAGTCCATGCCCAGGATGTTGGACACCTGAATAGCCAACTGCTTGCCTTGTTCCGTCAGCGGGCACATGACGCCCACACCACCTGTGGGGAAAGCACAGTGATAGAAAGGTGACAACAGATACTGAATGACAAGTCAAATGACTCTTCAAGGAAGAGGCGGGGGTGTGCAGGGGAGGGGCAGTGAGACAGGCTTGGTCATTACTCACAAAGATCTGGATGGAAATCAGGACACCCTTTGGGAAAACAATATAGTCATGTCTATGCAGAGTCTTAAAATGCTGATTCCCTCTGACCCAGCCATCCCACTATTAAGGAAACAATCTAGGTACAGGAAAAAAGCTTTATGCACAAAGGTGTGGATGACGGTATTATTTAAAATACTGGAAAAGCATAGCACCTGGTACATAGTGGGCACTCAATAAACATTTGTTGAAATCAGAAATGAAAAATTATAATCTAAATATCTTACAATAGAGTAAAACAGTATATTTTACAGCCATTAATAATAATGCTCATAAAGAACTTGTAATCATGTGGGAAAACACAGGATTAAAGCCTATATAGTATGATCATGACTGTACCAAAAGATATTTCTCAGAAAAACAGACTGGAAAGAATAACACCAAAACATCCCTAAATGGTGCAGATAATGAGAAATATCTTTTTTCATTTGACTTTGCTCTATTTTCTAAATTTTCTACATTGAGAATGTATTCCTCTTATGATTAGAAAAAATAAAATTAACATTGATTTTTAAGAAGAGAGAGATGGAGAGGATTTTGAGACAGAATTGTGTACAGAGAGAGGCTGGTTGCCCTTGTTAAAAAGCTAGGACTTCAGATTTTATTGTCTCTATTTAGTCTCCTTGCAAAGATTTAAGACTTGTATTCTCAGGCCCAATAACTAAGGTCTTTACCTTAACACTGTCCCTTCCCACCTAGGACACTGTATGAGGAAAAGGCTATAAAACAGTTTTAAACAGCCCAGCAAGAAAAGCAACATGGGTCTGGTGCAGTGGCTCATGCTGTAATCCTAGCGCTCTGGGAGGCCGAGACGGGAGGATCACTTAAGGTCAGGAGTTCGAGACCAGCCTGAGCAAGAGCAAGATCCCATTTCTACTAAAAAGAGAAAAATTAGCCAGGTGTCCTGGCACATGCCTGTAGTCCCAGCTACTCGGGAGGCCAATTTGAGGTTGCAGTGAGCTACGATGACACCACTGCACTCTACCGGGGGCAAGAGAGCGAGACTATCAGAAAGGAAAGAAAGAAAAGAAAGGAAAGAAAGGAAAGAAAGAAAGGAAGAAAGGAGGAAAGAAAAAAAGAAAAGCAACATGTACAAATTATAAAACTGTGTGGTTACTAAAGAATGGATTCTGTAAGGTTCCAAAAAATACAAAATGATAATACGCAAGGTTCAATACGTGGCACTACACATGATTATCATGAAAATGAAATGAGATAACATGGAAGGTACTCAGTCCTGTGCCATCCTGAATCTAGCAGTTGACTGTATCACACCACTTCGTCGCAATATCGTACAGATATCTGTTTATGTGTCTTCTTTACTGGGCCACGTGCTACCTGAGGGCAAGGCTCTCTCATAATTTCTACCCTCCCAATGTCTACCAGAGTCTGCTTGAGGACATGCTCAATGAATACTAATGAAAGAAGAACCAAATCAGTGTCTATGCCTCTTTATTAGTCACTGGACTTGGTCTTCATCTGGTGATTTAGGAAAAAATAACTATAGGTGTTTTTTTCATATTACCAATACACACATTCATTCAGTGAGGTTGACAATAGCTTTTGGTGATGGGGGACAAGAGCTTACATGCTCCCTGGAATGTTTCCATTCACCACAACAGAAAACAAACTTTATCAATAGGTTAATGGGATGGGTTCATGCATTCGACCAAAGCATAGACTGCAGCTTTCTAATAGCATCACACATAAAAGGAAAACAACTTTCAATTATAATAAATGTAAAAGGAAAATATGATCTTTTTCTCCTGCCATTGCTTTAGCTTAGACTCTTCTTATTTCTTGTCTGAGCTGTTGCAACAGCCTCGAAACTCATCTCCCTGCCTCCCATCTTATGCCTTCACTCCATCCTTTACCCAGATGGAGTTTTTCTCAAACACCGGTGCCTTTTTAAAACCTGACAAGTCCTGACACCTACAAGAAGGGGTTGAAACCTCCATTCCTGACGCCCCTACCCTGTCATAGCACTTACACTCATCTGTTCCCCTCCTGGAATGCTTGCTGCGACAGGAATGGGCTCATTTCTCATTCTTATCTGTGAGATCCTGGTGGCTAGCGGAGGGTCTGACAAGATAGTAGCCATCAATACACAGTTACTAAACAGGCCCAAACACCCCAGTGAAAAATCCTGGTGGCCTTCCACGACCAACAGACTAACTCTGCACCTTTATACCTTACCTAGAGAGCAGTTGCTTTGCATCCGTCCGTCTGTGGAGCAGCGAAGCATTGAGCCTATCACCTGGCCCCCTACCACCACCACCCGGATGTCCTTTCCGTGTGACTCCTTCACATACTTCTGGAACAGGTAGGGCACGTCATGGCGGATCACATGGCAGATGTCTGAGAGGTGATGTTTATCTCTTGCCAGAAAAACAGCTTTCCCTTTAAGAAGAAAGACAAAGAGCAAGAGAAGCAGTTGGAGAAGCCTTCGGACTCTGTCCTTGACATCCCGCCTCCTTGTCCCACAGTCATCAGTTCTCTCTGAACTCAACTCGCTTTGGCCCCTTCTGTTTCTCTTGCTTCTTTTCAAATGGCCATTGAACCTTAGGGCCTCAGGAGCCTGTCTCCACCACCACTCTTTCCAAAATGACATAATAATGTATTCCAGAAACACAGAGAAGGGGCCAAAATAAAATCCTAAGGATCTAATCAATTCTGTTCCAAAACCAGTTAATTAGCATCTCCTGTCACCCCAGGATGCTGATTAGGCAGGATCCACATCTCGCTCATTTTTTTGTCCTCCAAATCCCACACTGGGCTCGATGCACAGAGCGGATGTCAATTAATGTTTACAGAACAAAATTAATCGGACATACTTTACAGAAACCCCAAGTCTGGATTGAGAGAGATCAAAAAGAGGTAACCACAACACAGCACGACATGACACTGAGAGGTCCGTGCAAAACGCTGTGGGAGCTCAGAGGGGGAGCCACTGGCAGACGTCCTTCGTCCTTTCAAACACAAGGAAGTTATTATGTGGCTATACCCATTTAATTCCAAATGGAATGACCTACACTTCTGTTGTTCTCAGGGGAAAGCACTCCCTCTTGATTCTAAATTCTTTATTTTCTGCTTGAATCACCTATGCTTTTGTAATTATTTAGCATCTACTTTTCCATTTGTGTATTAGTTAACGGATCTGAGCAGGGGTTCCTGGTCAGTTTGCTCTGCAAATCTGACGTAAGCATGCCCAGTCTGAGCATTCTTTCTATCAAATATGGAACAAAGACTTGGTTTTCCTAAGTTTTCTGTCACCATCTTAAAAGGAGTGGAACTCTTCTGAAGTCTGAATAAAAAGAGTGATGGGCACCAGTCCCTAGTGGCCTCCAGACTGAAAAGTAACCTTCAGAACATGTCATAACCAGGACTCCATCATTCCTGAGATGACTGGACCCTAAACACCTGACAGAGCCGGAGGAGTGGGACCAAGAGATATAAAGATGTCCAAGTGGCAGGTGATAGCAGGGCGTGCAGTTTAGTGGGAAGTTAGTGTCAGGGAAGTTGCAGAGGGCCCCGCAAGTAGGCACAGGAGGAAAAGTGAGAGGCCCAGCAGGTGGGCACAATGCAACATCAGTGTTCCAAGTCTCGGTCAATGAGCAGAGGTACAAGTAATTAGATGTCTGACACCAGGAGATCAGGGACCTTGCAGCAGATGGCTGGGATTCAGTTATAGGCACTGGGGTTCTCTGGACATTAGGTAGGATTTTCAGCAGAGACGGGGGCTAGAGTTAGAAACTGGATTCCTTGGTTCTTGGTACAGAGGTTCTAATATGGGGCTTAGTCTACAGTTAATAAAGGAGCTACAGTTTTAAGGGAGAGAAGGGGAGGAAGGGCACTAAGATTAGTTAATCATCTAAGTGCCAAGCAGTTTGGTTTTATTATTTCATTTACACTTCACACTAGCCCTATGAAGCTATTATGACAAGGATGGTTATTACTGTTTTATTGATAAGGAAAAAAAGGGCCCACAAGATCAGTAACCTTCTTAAGGGCACAGCCCATGCACTCACTGCCTTGCTAAAGTCTAACTTAAGAACTGTAACTGTTTCCTTCCTATCCAGTTTCCCTGCTAAAATACTATGTGTTACACTAGCAATGAACAATCTGAAAATGAAATTAAGAACACAATTCCATTTACCATAGCATCAAAACGAATAAAATATTTAGGAATAAATTTAACCAAAGAAGTATAAGGCATATCCTGAAAACTATAAAACATTGTTGAGAGAAATTAAAGATCTAAATAAGTGGAAAGACATCCCATGTTCATAAATTGTTACGATGGCAATACTCCTCAACTGATCTACAGATTTAAATGTAATCCCTATCAAAATTCCAACTTCCTTTTTTGCAGAAGTTGACAAGCTGATCCTAAAATTCGTATGGAAATGCAAAGGACTCCAAATAGCTAAAATAATCTTGAAAAAGAAGGGCAAAGTTAAAGGACTCATACTTCTCAATTTCAAAACCTACTACAAAGTTACAGTAATTCAGACTACGTGGCCTGGCATAAAGTTAGAACTATGTATCAATGGAACAGCATTGGAAGCCCAGATATAAACCTTCACACATATGGTCAATTGATTTTTGACAAGGTTTCCAAGAACATTCAATAAGGAAAGAACAGTCTCTTCAACAAATGGTACCGGGAAAACTGGATATCCACATGCATAAGAATGAAGTTTAGACCCCCATCTCACACCATATACAAAAATTAACTCAAAATGGATCAAAGACCCAAATGTAAGGGCTAAAACTATAAAACTCTTTGAAGGCAACATAGATGTAAATATGTATGACCTTGGATTAGGCAAGCACAAAATGACATCAAAAGTACAAGAACCAAAGGAAAAAATAGACAAAATAGACTTCATCAAAATTAAAAACTTCTGCACATCAAAGACACTATTAAGAAATGAAAAGGCAACCTACAGAATGGGAAAAAACATGTTCAAATTATATATCTAATAAGGATCTAGCATCCACATTATAAAAAGAACCTTTAAAATTCAACAAAAAGACAAAAGACCCAAGTTAAAAAATGGGCAAAGGATTTGAATATTCCTTCAAAGAAGATATACGAATGGCCAATAAGCACATGAAAGTATGTTCAAGATCTTTTGTCGTTAGGGAAATGCAAATCAAAACCACAGAGATAACACTTTACACTCACTAGGATGGCTATAATCAACATATATACATACATACATAAAAAATAACAACTGTTCTTTCTTGCTGAAGACAAGCCAGGAATATAATTAAAAATAAACAAAAAATAATAAGTGTTGGTGAGAACATAGAGAAATCGGAACCATCATATATTGCTAATAGGAAGGTAGATGGCATAATCATTGTGGAAAACAGTCTAGCAGTCTTCTAAAAGTTAAAGATAGAATTATCATGAGGCCGGGCACAGTGGCTCACGCCTGTAATCCTAGCACTTTGGGAGGCTGAAGCGGGAGGATCGTTTGAGTCCAGGAGTTCAAGACCAGCCTGAGCAAGAGCCAGAGCTCATCTCTACAAAGAGATGAGCTTTTTTTTTTTTTTTTTCAGTTCTACTATTATTTATTTTTTAAAATATTTTTGAAAAAATATAATTTTTTTACAATATTTTCAACTTAAACACTATTCACACTGAACACGTATGGCAGCTTAACCTACCCAAATATGAAGTTTAAGAAGCCAAAACTCTTCTAGCTTTGTTAAAAAAAAAGTTGTGCTGCAGACTATTGTCGTGATGGTTAACAAAGCAAGGAAAAGCACCAAATGATAATGTTACAATATCTTTGTTCAATTAGATTATGGGCTGGTGTTGGTCATATGCCTGCGGCCTCCACAGAGGCATCGCTATGATACAGTGAATCCTTAGAAGATGCAACTCTCAAATCACGTACTTCCACAGATGTAACATAGGAGCAGAATTCAGTATTTCTAACATGATAACATACCAGAAAAACTAGGACTAGCTCTCATCTGATCACACTACCTTTTAACCTCAGTTATCAAAGACATTCTCGTCATCTATAACAAATTACCTTAAATTAACAGACCTTCAGAAAAAAGAAATTCTTTTTGATGGGGACAAATGCAAATTTGAGTCTGAACTGAGAAATGTGCCTAACAATTAGAACTTAATTTAAATTTACTTATTAACAAGTGTTAGTTAACCCTAAGAGATCAGTTTAGCCTCAAAGAAGACAATTTAGTAAGATTCAGAGGTCATTTAATTTGGTGCTTTTTCACAACTTGACTGGTGCTTCTTTCCTCGCTGTCTTTACATCAAGCCATGGGCCAATTCTATTTTCAGTAAACGTTTGACAACTTTTTACTTAATAACAGTCTCAGCACTTTTATTAAGCATGCAAGACTAACAAATTACCCTGGTGTGGTGGCACATGCCTGTAGTCCCAGCTACTTGGGAGGCTGAGGCAGGAGGATTGCTTGAACCCAGGAGTTTGAGGTTGCAGTGAGCTATGATGACGCCACTATACTCTAGCCCAGGCAACAGAGAGAGACCTTGTCTCAAATATGAAACACAAAAGAATTACCATATAACGTAGCAATTCCACTCGTAGGTATATACCCAGGAGAAATGAAAGTGTAAGTCCACAAAAATTTGTACACAAATGTTCAGAGCAACATTACACATAATAGTCACAAAGTAGAAAAAACCTAAATGCCCACCAACTGATGAACAGGTAAATAAACTGTGGTATATCCATACAACAGAAAAGGGATAAAGTAATGTTACTTGCTGTAACATGGATGACATTTGAAAAACACATCATGCTAAGTGAAAGAAGCCAGACACAAAAAGCCCACATATTATATAAATCTATTTATATATAATGGCTAAAATAGGCAAATCTATAGAAACAGAAAGTAGATCAGTGGTTGCCAGGGACTGAGGGAGGGTCAATTGGGACTAACTTCTAATAAGTAGGGAGTTTCTTTCAGGGGTGATGGAAATGTTCTGAAATTAGACAGTGGTAATGGTTGTAAAACAGTGAATTTACTAAAATCCACTGAATTTTACACTTTGCAATGATAACTTTTTTATGTGAGTCGTATCTTAATTTTAAAAACTTAAAAAAAATTATGTACTATATTTAATTTCTGTTTACTGTCTTACCTTCTACAAAGGAAGCTCCTTGAGGGCAGGAATTTATCTGTAACCCCAGACCCTAGAACAGTGCCTGGCACTTTGTGGGCACTCAGTAAATATTAGATCAATTTTATGTTACACATACTTTACCACAATAAAACAACTGGTGGAAAGACTGAAGTTTAGCACGGCAGCATATCGGAGTAGTACTAAGAGTCCCCCTTTGCCACGCAGACTCGTCTCTCCCGCTCCCCGGCCGGACCCCTCGACTCACAGGCTGCTTTGCCTACACCTGCTTCTGCACGCTGCTCACTCAGTTCCTCCAGTTCAAATGCTACACTTCGACTTAAGTCTCTCTTCACTTCCAGTGAAGCCTTTGCAGCAGAGTTGGCCCCCCCTCTCCTTCAGGCTCAAAGAGGCCCCGGGCGTGCCTGCTACAGTAGCGATCTCCTGCAGTGCAACTGTCTCCACTATCCACACCTTTGAGCCCCTTGAGAGCAGTGACTGCGTCTAGTTCATTTCTATTTCACAGTCCCTACATCACAGTAATTGACCATTATGTGTCTGTTTAGGGTTGCCTCCCCTTGCTCCTAATATCCTGGACATTTAAGCAGCCATCTGGGTGTCATGATGAGGTGCCTGCTCACGTTCTGCAGGACTGCTTTCTGCTGCCAATGTCCCTACTGAGTCCCTACCGAGTCCCTACCATGCATCGAGCACTGTAGTAAGCCTTACAGAGATTCTCAGGACCTGGTCCCCACCGCCAAGCAGCTTGCAGTCTAATAAAGGAGGCAGGCACATAAACTTAAAATTGTTATAAAGTGCAGCGCTATGCCAGAGGCATGTACAAAGTGCTACGGGAACAAAAAGGGAAGAGCAGTTAATTCTGTATGGAACACAGGGAGGGAGATCAGGGATGTGAGTAGAAAAGAAATGACATTTGGAGCTGGCCTGAAAGGAGGAGCAGACGTGTTCACCAGGTAGGCAGAGGAAGATGACATTCCCAGCAAAGGGAAAAGAGCAGACGGTTGAAGAGAGGAAGATGCGTGGTCTATTTGGCGAATGAGAAGTAATCTGGAATGGATTATGAAGGGGTCACGTGGCCAGAGAAGGCTGCAAGAGAAGGTCGAGGCTGTTTGTACAGGGCCCTGAGTGTCACGATGAGGAAAATGGACTTTGTCTAATAGGCAACACAAGGTCTTGGGAGGGTTTTTCGGCAAGGGAATGACAAGAATAGATCTAAGTTTCAGAAGAATTATTTCAAAAAAAGAACGGAGGATGCACTGGCAGTGAAGTTAGGGAAACCAATCAGAATCAAGTCAGGAGTCTGTTGCCAGAGTCCAAGGAAGAGATAAGCAGGACCTGACAAAAGCGAGGACAGTGAGGACAAACAGAAGGGGACACAGAGAAGAACTACACTGCAGGCTCCTCAAGGGGGAGCTCCACCTTCCCAAGCAGCACTTGAGGAGTGCCCTGTCCAGGCAGAGCTGCAGCCCCAGATGAACTGACAACCAGGAAGTCCTGGAGGAGTAGCACTGACCCCGGTGGCCTCGTGTGCTCTTCACCACAACCGGGTAGCCCAAGGGCTCAGCTTCATCAATCATTTTAGAGAAGTCTTCATGTCCACCTGCCAAGAAAAGGTGAAAGTCAGTAAGGCTGACGGTCAGGCAGTGGCCACCCCAGCACTGCGCCCTGCCCCTCCGTGGGAATTCTTGCAAGGGCTCATGTCTCTCTGATTAAAGCAATTCAAACCCATTCGACCGAACAGACATGCATCGTGCTCTTGTAATGTAAGAAGGTAGGAGCAGCAAGGTAAGGAAACCAACATTTATCAAGGACCTTCTATGTGGTAAAGGCTTTGCATGCTCTAGTTCGTGTAGTTCTCATAACAATCGCATAGGTAGGTACCTTTCCCATTACAATGGCTGCAGTAGGCAGAATTCTAAGATGGTCCCCAAGATTCCTACCCTCTGGTGTACACAACTTCTATAATCCCCTCTCTTGTGTGTGGAAAGGACCAGTGAATATGATGGGATATCACTCCTTTGATTAGGTCATTAATCAGTTGAGTTAATCAGGCTGAGTTAATCAAAAGGAAGACGATCCTTGGTGGGCCTGATCTGTCAGGTGAGCCCTTTAAAAAAGGTGAAGTGTCAGAGACACTCTTCTGCTGGCTTTGAAGGAGCAAACTGCCACACTGTGGAGAAGGCCACGTGGCAGAGAACAGAGGGCAGCGTCTAGGAGCTGAGAATGGCCCCTGGTGATGGCCAGCAAGGAAGTGGGGACCTCAGTCCTACGACTGCAAGGAACTGAATGCCAACAACCAGCAGGCTTAGAAGACCTCAGATCTCAAGTGAGACCACAGCCCCAGCTGACACCATGATTTCAGCCTTGTGAGACCTAAACAGAGAACCCGCTACGCTGTGGCTGGACTGCCAACCTACAGAAAGCGTGAGATAATCATGGGTGTTATTTTAAGCTGCTCAGTTTTTAGTAGTTTGTTGTGCAGAAATAGAAAACCAATACTCCAAGAAACCAAGCCTGGGGATTTGTCTCACCCAAAGTTAAATTATGACTCTAAAGCCTGAACTGACTTCACTATATACCTCTTTAAGTCTTAATTTTAAAAATATGAATAATAATGTGCATGGAAATCTTTCTAAATTGCCAAGTGCAGTGGCTCATGCCTGTAACTGTAATACTTTGGGAGGCTGAGATGGGAGGATCGCTTGAGCCCAGGAGCTCAAGACAAGCCTGGGCAACAGCAAGGTCCTATCTCTACCAAAAAAAAAAAAAAAATAGAAAAATTAGCCAGGCATGGTGGCATGCATCAGTAGTCCCAGCTATTCAGGAGGCTGAGGCA